TATTGGCTGCTTTCCTTGTTCCACACATACTGCCTTTATTAGTCGTTATACAGCAAGAGAATCATACATGACAGAGCTGGTCTGGCTCTAATATTTTGAGGTTATCTGGTCCTATTTAGTGATGTTCCCAAGAGATCCAGATGTCCTCACAGTCTCTTATGACAGTGAAGAAGGAAGAGAACTCATCCCAAATGTATTTCTGTGCTGTGCCATTTCTCTCTCTTCCTTGGCTTGACATTCTCTCCATCCAATAAGAGAAAACAGAGGTGGAATGCGTAAGTCCCCTCATTCATTTACCTCCTCTGGGATTTAGGCAGGATCATCTTCTCTTAAACAGAAAGAGCATCATCAAAACAGGTTAAAAAATGAGTGTCTAAGGTTAGTCTGGAGATGAGGGACGACTCTGAAGGTACATCCAAGCAAAAATCCTAGTCTAGGTCTTAGACTGTGAGACAGAAAATATACATCCATACACTTATAATGCTCGGACACATGAGATCACTGCTTTCAGTGAGCACTTTTCAAAGGGTTGTGGGTGGCTCAGGGCTCTCAGACTCTTTCTGAGACATCAAAGGTTTTGTAAAATTTTCATGACTTAAGAAATCATAGCTTTAAAATTAGTGATGAAAAGTATATTTTGGTCTACCTTGAGTACATTAAAGGAAAGGAACAGTGAATGTTTACAGACCCATTCTGTCTAAAAATAGAATGACAGCATTGACATCTCACAACTCTTCATCCCCTTAGATTTTTTTCTGTTCCTCACTTGTTACTCCATTTCCTACCATGATCTTCCCAAAACAATTTGGCAGCATGTATCATTGAACCTTCATTGGGGTTAGAAGAAATCACCCTCATGCTAGAAAACATTTTGGTCAAGGAAAATTTTATTTATTTTAGGCCTCTGCTAGGACTCTTTAAAAATTATTAATTATTTGGTATGTGAGTATGTGAGCCTCTGAAAAATAGCCAGAGATGTGCTACCCAGAGCACAAGTTCCTGGAGCATAGAGGTGGGCTCTGGGCATCTGGATGGAATTTGACTTGAATGAAATTTTGCTGGAAATGAAGTGGTAGAAGATAAAGGTAGTGAAATGTGTTAGCTCTTTCTTTTCCTTCCAAAGAGTAAACAGAGTAATTTTTGTTTGAAGCTGGAATCAGGCTAGACTGTGAAAGTTTCATTCATGTTTGCTGTGAAATACAAATAAGGCATTTTTGACAAAAAATGTTTTATTCACTGTAAGGAATTTCATTACTGGCGGTTGGGTGAAGTATTTACTCGTGTCCAGTGATAGGATACTGCACTGACTCAGCTAGATATGTACTTTAGAATTGTTTTACACAGCAGAGATAAAGTAGTGGGAAGAAAAAAAAAAAAAAAAAAGAATTCAAATTACTGCTGCTTAGAGTGCGTTCCTGGCTTGAATCCACAATGTCAGAAAGAACTCCAAATTAAAAAACAGGTGCACTATGTCCAAAGGCATTTAGGTGCCTAATTGTCTATGAAAACAGTATGAGCTGTTGAAGATCTTGACAAGTGTGATTTATCCTAAGGGGACATGATATTCTCATGTGCTCTCATAGATTCTCCTAAACCTTTACCCAATACCACTGCTACAGTCTCTTACAGAGGTGCTGAATTATCATGCAGATAAGATATGAGCTAAATTCTCTGCGTCAGCACTGTGATATCACGCAATATCATTTCCATTGAGTAAGGTGGATATAAGTGGGTACTGTTAAGGAGCCACAAGTGGGAATACTTTCACGTGGTGACTGTAGTTGGGGTGGGATCAGTCACTGAGCCTGAGGAAACTCAAGATCAGGAGTCAGTCCCCAAGGACAGACCAGCCCAAGGCTCCAGATGGAAAGTGTACTCAGAAAAATGGAGAAATCAGGGCTACCCCAAACCAACGAGCAAATCAAAAGCAAGGTCAGGAAATGAAAGAGCTTGCAGTAAAAGGTAAAGTCTTAGACAAAGATGACCTAAGTCTACAAAGATATAAAGCAGGTTAGCCAAGAAGCTTCTTCAGGACCAAATGGGACACCACGTAATGAAAGCAGTTAGCGAGATCTCCTTCTGTGCCCAAATCTCAGGTAGTCAGGCTTCCCAGGATACTCACCTCTCAGTTCCTGGCTACAGCGCTTGGCTGCAGGGCCTGAGAGAGGACGGCATGTGCTGAACCTCTAGCATATAACAAGGTTATCCGGTCAGCGCAGGGAAAATGGGTGTAATGACATTAACAAAACAGTCAGGCTTTTTTTTCCATCTAAGAAACTGTGAATCTTACTTGGGGACAGGAGGAGGTTGGGGTGTGATGGGCTGCTCCCACTTCCCAGGACTTCCATGGCCCTGGGACACTGCTACTATTTCTCCAGGTGCTCTGGCCAGACACTGTCACAGATCATGGTGCTCAGTGCTGCAAAGCAGAACAGTGTTTCTATCATGATGGTGACAGAGATATAGTCCTTGCTGTGAAGGAGATGAGCACTGGTTGCTTGTGTTTTGTCTCAACATGAGACCAAAGATATGGATAATAGCCATTTCTGAAGAATGGCCACATCAGAAGGAAAGACCATCCAGAAATACATAGAATAAAAATAGATATATGCTTCAACAGCAGTAATTGGCAGGGGCTGTTAAAAATTTGGTTAATTTGCTTAAGCAGGGCATGCAACAGACATGAGGCTGTAGGAAAGATGCAGTAATAACAACATTTTAATAATTAAACCTGCACATAAACTAAAATACTTTTTACAGCGTAAAATTATGGCATAAAATTGTGGCAGAGAACAAATGTGTTACATATTTCCAATGACAGATCAACACCTCTTGTAATTCCCATTATCAAAATTGTACGTATATAAAAAATAAATAAATAAAGCTGTTTTGTAACCAGAATTTCTCACCAAGCCCTACTACAAGATATGCAGAAGGAATATTTGTGAGAAACAAATACTGATTGTAATAGAAAAATCCCTGTTTTAGAAATAAGGCACATAATGAGAAAATAAAAATTATTTATGAAGTCAAACGACTTTTAAATCTTTAAATTCTCCACATACCTTCTAGGATTATAGTAACCTGTGGAAGGTCATTATAGTTATAAAGGAAAAGATTAAATAAGCACTTAAGCAGACATAAATAAAACAGACAGGTTAAAAGCTATTAAATTGAACAAGACTGGAGAGAAACCTAATCAGTGCTGCAAAGGAATCTGAACTGAAAAAGAAGGAGACAAATGTAACGTTGAGAATGGGCTATGGGAAGCAGCAATTCTATATTACATATAGGACTCTTCCAAGAAAAGAGACAGTGTGAAAGTAGGAATCACTTTTTGACATGGGAAATTCTGATGGAAAATAAGGCAGGAGAATGGGTCAAGAAGATGCAGGAAGAAACGTGCCTACTGTGGAGGTGTTGGTGGGGTCAGGGAGCTGCTGTGGCAGCTGGGGCTGAACCCACTGGGCCAAGGGTTGTTATGTGGTCTCTAAGCCAGCAATTTCATTTATCTCAGCAAAAAATAAATAGAAAATATATGAAGGAAGCACGTATAGTAAAAAAGAAACATTAAATTTATTTATTTATTTTGTTACTCTCATGTTCCAGAGGTATAGAACCACTGAATTCACCGAGGGACATTTCCACTACCAGAGCTGGTAACATAAGGAATGACTATACCACAAGTACGGATATTTCTAAATATCTTTGTTTTCGTATATTTCTCAATATTTCTGTTCTTATTTTTCTGACTTCTCCCTGAAAAAAAAAATAAACAAAACCATTTTGTTAACTAGATCTGCATGGGCACTTTTTCTAGAGAGGGAGAAATAGGAGCCAACCTTATGAAAAAAAGGAAACAAAACACCCCAAAGCAACCAACAAAAAAATAGCCCAAATCCACAGAATCTACTTGAAATGTTGGGGAAGTTACCATTTAAAAACATATATATGCTGCAATGCAGGAGTATCTCAGCAACTCCATCCTCTGTGTTTCAAATGCCACAACACTAAATGTGAAGAAATGCTGACTTTTGAGGGCACCTGGTATACCAACACTACTTAACAGCACCTCTCAGATGCAGATCATTACATTAATTACGAGCACATCTGTTACAACTGATAATTTTTGTTCTTCCTGATTTTTAATAAGCAATTTTGCCAACACGTTTACTGGAAAGATTACAACATCTTCCTGTGCCGAGAAAACCCAAAGGGCCCATTTATCCCATTGAGCCGTCTTCTTGTTTAAACAGAGGGTCACGCTGCAACCAAGGGACTGCCGTTTCCCCCAGAAGACAGGTCTGATTTGGCTTCACACAGCCGCATGTCTGTGAGAGAGAAACTCCTTTTTTAGAAGCCACTGAAGTCAGCCCAAGCAAATAGAACACCAGCAGCCCAGATGCACCGAGAAATGACAGTCAGAGTTGCTATGATTTAGTAACTGTAGATGTGGGAAGAGGAGGCTGAGCATCCTGGTTCTATTTGCTGTGCACGCTGTGAGTTGACGTGGATTTAACCAAGAAAGGGGCAAGGAACCCAAACAGTGTAAGAAAAGCAAACTGAACTGAGGCAAAGAATGCTTTGTCCTACATCTGATTCAGCCCTCAGGTGATCAGGCTCTGCATGCTTTTAATTTGACTAGCCGGGGATATTTGAGAAAACGTTCTGAGAACAAACGTGGCTGAATATTGAGCGTGACACAGAGTGTCACAAACGCTTAAAGCTTCAGGTCCTTCAGCCAGCGGAGGGAACGAGTGTTTTCCGTCGGACCCGGGACGCGAGAACGTCCTCGCCTGAACAATAGCTCCGGGACCGGGCGTCCTGGTGGGGCGAAGGGGGTGAGAAGGCCGGGGCTGCGTCCGACAGCGGGAGAGGAGCGGCGGGAGCGGAGCGTGTGCGGCTGCGGCGCGGGGAGGCGGGCGGCGGGCGGGCAGGAGGCTGGTGCGAGCTGTTTGGCCACCGGAGCCAATCGAAAGCTGGGGCTTGATCCTCTTCTCGGGCAGCGGCTGAGAGGAGTCAGTGCCGAGCTCCCCTCCGCAGCCGGGACCCGGCCGAGCCGCCTCGCTCTCTCCCAGCACCGCGCTCTCCCACCGGGCGCCTATGGGCATCTGCAGAGAGCGAGGACTTCGCACCACCGCCAGCGGGCGAGGACCGCGACCCCGCTCCACCCCGCCTTTGGACCTATAGCCGGTAGGACGGAGCGCGCTGCGGAGCCTTCCTCGCCTCACCGCAGGTACGGGGTGACCGGTGGCGGCCGCTCGCTTTCCTCCTTCCCTTCTCTCCCTGTGCCGGCTGTAGGGCAGGGCTCAGGGCCCCGAGAGCTGACAGCGCGTCTCCGCGCGGCGGCGGCGGCGGCGTCGGCAGCGCCGCGTCCCGGAGGGAGCTGCCCGCCCGCGGGGCGGCTCCGCGCACAGCAACCCTAGAGGCGGCTCCCTTGGCTGCCCCAGGTACCTGCAGGGCCGGAGCCCCCCGGGCCGGGAGTATGGCAGCGCGTGCGTGCGTGAGAGCTGTGCCCCTTTGTACCTTTCTTTCTTTGCTTTGGGTTAATGATGGTTTGCGATTATGAACCCCCCCCCTCCCTCCGAGGGATCTGATCCAGCACTGCTTTAAGTCAGGAGTTGAAAATACATGGGAGGGTGAAAATACATGGGAGCCACTTTCTCATCCTGCAGATGATGATTATCATCATACCATGCTTGACTTTCTGCAAGAGCTAAGGAAATAAGCGCTCTTGCAGAATTGGAGTCACAGGTCCCATAAAAAAATTGCACTGGCATTTGGCTGAACGACTCTTATTTTTAGCACACTATTGTGAAAGGGATTATATAACTTTGGTGGAGTTTTTGAGGATGAAATTAACAGCCCATAACAAGTTTAACCTCTCCTTTTACAAAAGAGGCGAAATGAATTGGATGAGAGCCCAATAAGTGCCATCAGGTGGGCATCAGTCTTAGCAGTGACTGAGGCAGACGCTCCCCAAGGACAACTCCAGTTCAAAATCCTGCAGGAGTCCCCAGGCAACAGGTGCAGGAGTTGCCTGCCCACAGCCCTGGGTCATGCTGGTGCTGAGGCTGCTTCTGGGCTGCTTAGTGCTAAAGCAGAGAGAAACGAGCGTGAGCACGGAGTCCTTGCTGCCCAGCAGCACTGATGCAATGGAGACACTGCTGTCAGGAGATAAATCTGTTGTGTAAACTCCAAGAAATGTGTGTCACCTGAAATACGTGCCTGAGAGATTTTCTTATGCAGATGCTTCACTTGGTAACTTTGGTGCATAACTTTCAGACTGGCCTTTCCAAATGCTAAGGAGGAACATTAATATTCTAGGACTAGAAAGCAGAGCCTTGACAAAATAATGTAATAGAGGCAGTCTGGTTTCTGCCAAGAATCAGTGTTCTGTCTTGGTGTGCAGGCTCTGAGCAAAGCACCTTTCCTCAGTTTTGTTGCACAGTCTGCAACGCACTGCCATCATCCAAGAAGTGAAGTCCTAAGTTCTGAAGAGCTGTGTGTGATCACTATAAAGCTGCAGAGGATGGACCTATTTGCTCAATGTGTTGTGGAAGGAAGGACAGTCTGGCTGTGGCATTTTGCTTTTTCACCTCCTGTGCACACACAGAGCTCTGTGCCTGAAGGAAGCGTGCCCATAGCAGTGAGGGTTGCTCAGCATCTGAGCAGGACCAGGAGTGGTATAAGGCCAGTGAGCAGCATCAGAGGGGCTCTGAAAGGGTGGCACCAAAATGAAGGCCTCTATCTCTGGATGTTGAGCGGCTGGTCTAGCTGATCTATTTGTTTTTTGTTTGTCTCTTGAATAGACTGTGCTTTCACGAGACACTCCTACAGTGTGGAATAGAACAAAGGTGTGGGAAGGTGAAGAATTAATCTGAGGGGAATTTTGTTTCTTTCCATAGTATCAGGTGATGGCAAAAAACAGTCTGAATTGCCAGCTGAACTATGCAGGTATACCCTGTCCTTTGGAAATTGGTGGTTTTCGGTCATGATTTGTCAATGCTTATGTGAGTGTAAATCAAGGATATGCAGATCAATCCCTTTGGTAGCAAATAGCTTTGTCCTGCTGCGATTTTCTTGATAAATATGGTAGAAGACAAATCCCAATGTACCATGATTGGATGCTTGCATTAGAACAGTTTCAATGTAAATTTAGCGGCGCTGCATGTAGAGCAGTCAGGCTGAGTTGCTGAAGTCACTGTGCAGATTTCCTGACACCCGAAGAGCCTCTCAAGCGCTGCACACTGAGTTCTTTCCCTTCACTCTCCCAGATGCTGATAGGCGTGGCTGTGCATTTATATTAGGATTGTGGTTCCTATCAGGAGGGCTCTTTGACGCCAGTCTCCCAGTTGTTCCCACTTACTGTCCATCTCCATATACCTCATGGTGGGCCAGCTGGATTCCTTTAGGATGAATCTAAACTGGAAGATGTGCTAGAGTCTTGAGTCACTGTTGGAAATTCCGTCCGTGGGACTAGACCAGTGCTAGCCTGAAGTGAAACCCTACAAAATGCATTTAGCATTGGTACAAAGTCTCCCACACTTGTATTCCATGTGTTCCTGTTGAGCCGATCTGTTGCTAACATAGACACATTTGATTTGCAGCACGCAGTGCTGGTGCACAGCCCAGTTTGAGGCAAGCAGTACTTCCAGGGCGTTGACTGTTCCCTGATCTTCGCACCACTGCTGCAGAAGTGTTATTGAGGGGCTGTTCTGGCCCAGGAGATCATGGCCCTGCAGCCAGCTTGTACCCCTGGTTGTGCTTGTACTCACTGAGATCTCCGCAGACGGAGAGGTGTTTTGGTTTGGTTTTGTTTTGTAACAGTCTGGTATGCGATTGCAGACTACTTTTAGAGTGAGAACTTTGGATAACGCAGGCTTGAGCTTGCCTGCTGAATGCGAACACAGCCGTTGTGCTTAAAAAAGGACAACCAGTGCCCCACTGTGCTTGTTTGCCCGCGTTGGCTGTAGCCGCGGTGTGTGTGATGGTTCGCAAGGCTGTGTTTATGTTCCTCGTGTCATCTGGGAGTGGTGAAAAATATTGGCTCGAAACTTGAAAACTGTCGCGTAGCGCTGCTGCTCTGCATTCATGGGTGCAGTGTGCCGGCTGACTGCGCTTCCCATAGCACCCCAGGAGCACACTCTATGGAAGGGGCAATGCCTGCAGCCTAGGCAGGTGAGAGTGCGAGCTGCCCGGATAGAGTTTTAGAAACAGATGCTGGTTAAAAAGCTCTAAAACATTTTTGTGTGCATTTCTCACTTTAAAGCTGAAAACATTTATCTGGTCAGTGATTTGGCTGACTGTTTGCACTTTCTTGTACCCCTTAGCTTGCTGCTTTTGTGAAAATTATTTTAAATAAGAAAAAAAAAAAGATGTTTTTTTTTAAAATAATAAACCATTACCGTTATCTTTTGTATGAAAGCATTTCTGGCTAGAAAATACATTACTGGAACTATTAGGGGCTCAAATAATTTCTGCTCAGTAGCAGAATCACAGAACCATGGGGGTTGGAAGGGACCTCTGGGGATCATAGAGTCCAGCCTCTCATGCTAAAGCAGTTCCTTTCAGTGGGTTGTAAGATCATTGTCACTGCTGCAAAAATCAGTCTTATTCATACTTTAGTTTCTCGCTTAATGTGTCCACAGAGTTCATAACGTAGTTTGCAGGGTTGTATGTGGATAGTATGAATGCTGTATATGCCCACCTAGTTCTACATTGCTGTGACTGCTCAAAAAGCACTTTCAAAAGCAAAAAACGTTGTTCTATTCAAAATGATTTCAAAAACAAGATTTGTTTTTTTCCTTTCTTGATGACTGTATTACTAGAGATTGTCTACTCCTAACTTTATTCTTATACACAGCTGCTTTGTGGGATGAAGCACAGATAGACTTTAAGATGAGTTGCCTAGGTTATGGGTATGCCACTTTGAAAACATGGTATTTCTCGTTCTTGGTGCATTAAGCCTTTTATTACCATTTGTTTGTTTGTTTGTTTCAAGAAGATTTTTGATGCCTGCTTCAGAAAGGGAAACAGACCACAAAAATGTGTCTTGCTCCAGATCTTTACAACATGGAGCAATCTATCTTTCAATATCCAGTGTGGTACAACCATGGAAGTCTTACCTGTCACCTGTCTTCGTCAAAAGGATACCTCACAGCATCTATTTTTCACATTCATTTTCCATTCTGGGTACAACTCTGTGTACAACTTTTTTTTTTTATACTTTTATTCTTTTTTTTCTTTTTTTCTCTATAATGTATGTAATAACTATAGCAGAATACTTCAGGTTAGTCATAAGGGTCAGAATTTTAGAGGCTACACTGACATATGGAATTATGTTGTAAATGTATATTATGTATAAAAATATGCATGCTACCATCTTTACTATAAGAGTCTTTATAGAAACAAAAAGGTAAAATTTTCTCATTTTGGACAGTTTTAAAGTCATGGAAGTGAGTATTTGAAAAAACTAGGAGGAAATTAAAGTGGTGATACATTCGAATACAGAAAGTCTTATAAAGATTTTATTTCTGCCTATTTTGTGTTAAGTAAGTGGGAGAAGAAAAGTACGCTGGCAAAGGAAAATACAGCATTTACCCTCCAAATTTCATTTTGGAAACTGTTTTTATTGAGTGTGATGGGCAGTGCACAAATATAACATCAGACTGTGTATTTAACAGTTATAAATCTTAGAAATTTCCTAAATTTTTAACTCCTCTTCAGAGTTGGAAACAACATTTGCACAACTCATACAGAATGCGTTATTGACCTTACCTTGTACAAACACTTGTTAGAACTGGAAAACTGCACCGTGCTGGGGCTACAAGTGAACTGGTTGCCTCTCTTCATTTGCATGCAGTTTCACTATGGACTACAGCCATGTGTAGTCTATTCTACCAGTCTGTTTAAGTGCGATTATGCTAGCACTGAATAGCCTGATATTCTACAGTAGTGCTAACAAAAAAATAAACAGCATTGTAAAAATTCTGCATGACCATTTCTGGCAAGAAAGAAGTTTTTTTTTTTTCCTCTTCCAAGTCTCAGACATAATCCTATTTCCAGTGAGGCCAAAAACTAGTTTGGCGTAGAGTTGAGTAGGATCCTGCCCATAAATCTGGCTAGTCTCCACGCAGATAACATCTGAAAAGTAGTCATTTAAAGAGATGTGGGAGAGATTGGGACAGGGGTGTAAATAGTGGGTCAGAGCTTCTACCCAAAATGAAAACATCC